ATTTTTCCGTTATAATACTAACTCTTATTTCTGCAGTGATTTACAATTTGCTACATGTTTTCCCCATAACAATCCTATGAAGTAGATAGGATAAGTATTATTGTTCCCATTTTTCACATAAAGAAAAAAGCCCAAAGAAGGACTATGGCTACACAGTAGGTGGAGAAATAGGATTTAAACCCAGATTTTCTGACTCCAAGTTCTTTCCTCTCTATGCTCTTTCCATAGAATGTTCTATGTCTTAAAGTTTCTTCTGGCATTGACATTCCCTGCTTTATATCCTAAGGACTCTTCCATCTCTACCATTTTATGTTCTAAGGTTACTTTATAATCTATATTCTAATGACCCTTTACAACTCTGGTAATCTATGTTTTATTTTCTAAGGTCCTCCACAGATGTGTTCTAAGGTCCAGTCCATCACTGACATTCTATAATCTATAGCCTACTATTTCAGGATTCCAGCCGACTATGTAGAGATCAGCACCGTGGACAGAGCCTCAGCAGTTCACCAGTGCCTGCGTTGCGTTGTGTAAGTACATTTTTAAGAGTGGTGGGAATGGTGGCCATTTCTATTTCTTGTGGTTATTTCTCTCAAGCTGCACTCCTGGACCCTGCTCCTTGAAAGATCATCTAGTTCAGCCCCCTGCCTTTGTGGCAGGATCATTCTCAAAGCATCCCAGAGATATGGGAAGCAGACCTGCCTTTCCTTCAATTGAAGTAGGGCTAGGGTGGGGTTGGAGTGAGCTGGTGTCTCTGCATAACTGCCTTTATTGGATGTTCCCTGGCTCAAGTGACTTCTTCTAGAAAGCCCTCCTTAAACTACCCCAGCCCTATCCTGGTCAGTCTTTGAAATAAGGTTTGTCTCATTACCATATGTATGGGAAAGCAGCTGGGGTTCAGTGGAACCAGCAGCAGATTTGTAGCCAAAAGACTAAGGCTTCCAATTGAGCTTTGTTATATGTGTGACCTTGGACAAGTCACTTCATTACTCTTTGCCTCAGTTTCCTCTTCTGAAAAATAGGAGTAACATTTTTTTGGTCATGAGGATAAACAAATATTTAATAAATGCCCTCTTGATGTAAAATATAGCTGTAGGAGAGAAAGAGTGTGAAAGGGCTTGGCAAACCATCAGACACTATAGAAATATCAGTTATTTCCATGCTCCGATGGATTTGTGATCTCATCCATGCGGGTTCTCCCTTCAGTGATGCAAATAACAGCCCACCCACTCCTCATCTGATTCAATGTCAGTTTTATTTTGTTTGTTTGTCTCTTGGCTCTGTTATGCATGTGGGGGCCTTTCTCTGTATCCAGACTATGAGTCTGTGTTAGAGAGAAATTGAGAGATGGGATGGTCATCAGAGGCCCTTGAATCCAGCTTCCTCATCTTACAGGTGAGGAGACTGGGGACTAAAGAAATTAGTTGACTTGCCCAAGGTCCCATACAGAAGTGGGACCCCTGACTCCAGAACTCCAGAACCAGTGCTCTTCCTCTTTATCACAGACAAAGTAAGTTGTTTACTGAGAAACAGTTCAATTCAAGAAGCATTCCCTAAGTGCAGCCAGGTAGCACAATGGATAGTGCACTGGGCCTGGCATCAGGAAGACCTGAATTCAAATTCCACCTGTCACTTACAACCTGTGCCACCCAAGGAAAATCAGTTCACTTCTCTGGGCTCCAGTCTCCTCTCTTGTGGGGGGGTGGGACTCAAGGGCTCTAAGGACATTTACTAGCTGTGTTACTTGGGCAGGCCACTTAACCACTGCCTCAGTTTTTTCAGCTGTAAAATGGAGAAAGTAACAGCACTTACCTTTTAGGGTTGTTGAGAAGATCAAATGGGATAATATTTGTAAAACACCTAGCACAGTGCCTGACATATAGGCACTATATAAATGCTTCCCTTTCCCTCTCCTTCTTCCTCCTATGTGCCAGGCACTGTGTGAGGTGCTGGTGGTACAATGACTATATGTGTGTGTGTATATGTATGTGTATATATACACACACATTTGTGTCTATACATACACACATTTTTATATATTTGTGTGTTTATACATATATGCACATATGCGCACACACATATTTATACATATGTACATACATATACATATATACATAGACATACATATACATATACACACTCCAGCCCTACTTGAGAAGTTTACATTCTCTTGTGGGGAGCAATGACCATGTCTACATGCTCAGAGTGAATGAATGAGCCCAGGGCTAAACACAGTTGGTGGCAGGGGGAGGTTGGCGTGTCTTCCAAACAGACTGATGGACTGGAAAAGTATCAAATTTGTATAATCCAGAAAATCTGGGTTCAAATTCTGGCTCCATCACTTACTACTTGTCATGTAGGACAATCACTTAGCCTCTCTGGGCCTCTTACTTTCCCTGCTTGTAAAACTGGGGAGTTGGACTCAATAACACGTAAGATTTCTTCTAGCTAAAAATCTATGAACCCATGACTTGATCTTCAAATCGGTTCTAAAACTATTTATTAGAACACAGGAGGTCAGAGCTGAGAGGGCCCTTGGAACACAGGATGTCAGAGCTGGGAGGGCCCTTAGAACACAGGATGTCAGGGCTGGGAGGGCCCTTAGAATATGGAAGATCAGAGGTGGGAGGGCCCTTAGAACAGAGAAGGTCAGAGGTGGGAGGGCCCTTAGAACACAGGATGTCAGGGCTGGGAGGGCCCTTAGAACACAGGATGCCAGGGCTGGGAAATATCTTAGAGAGAGATCATCTGGTCTGATGCCATCATTTTCCAGAGAAGAAAACTGAGGTCCCTGCCCTAATAGATTTCCCATCACAGCCTGGTAGGGAAGATAAGCTACGTAGTATCATAAGGGCCACAAGGCAATCCTTAGGGAAAGAGTCCAGGCCTGAGAGCCAAACAACCTAGGTTCATTTCCTTGCTTTGCCACTTAGTATCTATGTAGACTTGGGCAAGTTATGTAGGCTCAGCTTTCACCTCAGTAAAATGGGTATGATAACAATTGCACAATGTGTCTCCCAGAGGAAGGTGATAATCTAATGAGATCATGTGTTAAAGGCACTTTGTAATCCGGAAAGGCCGCCTGGAAGCCGGGGAAAGGCAAAAATGAAGTACTGGGAGGGGTCAGAGGAAGGAGAGCTATGCATCAGTTCTTGGACTGAGAGTCAGGATGCGCCCAGATGCTAGTCCTCACTCCTTTCCCTCACTGTGTGACTTAGAAGGTTATTCCCCTCTCTGGGCCTCAGTTTCCCCACCTACAGAATAAGGAGTTTGGACTAGATGGTCTCTCAGCACTTCACCCACCTCACACCCCAACCCCTCTCACTCTGTAACCATGGAGAGAAATGTGAATATTCAAGGTGTCTTTTTTCTGTCTTACTCCCAAGATGAGTTGTCACCCATTGCCTACCCTCCCTCTTAGGGAGGGACCTGATGGAGAGGAGAAGGCATAGAGGTCCTGGGCTGTCTGCTCCCCTGGAACCCAGAATTTCATCCTACAAGCCCAGCCTACGGCCACCCCTCTTCCCTAGGAGGCCGCAGCACCAGCGACCTATCCATGAAGTAGTAGGCTGCTCCCAGAGACTCCCCTGTGGTTTCTTCCCAGACTGGGCTGTGTGATTCTGAGGGAATGTGCTGGCCTCTCTCTGCTGGAGGTACTGAGGGCAGCCAGGACTCAGGAAGTATTGTAAGGGATGTGAGGGGGTAGGGAAAAGAAGCCAGATTGCCAAGCAAGATTCAGGAATATAGGAGGATGTTCTGGAGAAAGTGATGCTCTGTAGTCTGACCTGGGTTTGGGGAAGGAGACGCTTTGGCGGGGGGAGATGTTTCCATCCTCCACATGCCCCCATCAGCCCCTAGCACGTCTCCTTCCCACAAGGCAAGGCCTTGGACTTAGAATCCAAAGACAGAGGAAGCAGCTCCCTGGCAACGGTCACCATGGGGACAGGGCCTCCCTTGCCAATTGGCTGGGGAAGTGCCAGGGCCAGGGATGGAGCGGTAGGGAAGGCTGGGGTAGAAGAGGAATGGAGAACCAGGCCTCCTGGGGACAGACTCTCCCACGGCTGGTTCCAGGCTGTGGTGCCAGCCTTTGGTGCCAGCCTCTGGCCTGGGGGGCCCAGATGTCCATTCCAGCTCCGCCCTAGCACCAAGGCCTGGTGAAGCCTCATCTCTGCAGCAGCCTTGTTTTCCTCCCCACCCCCCAAACCTCTCAAGGTGGTAGGGGCTAGAAGCATCAGAAATGGCTAGATAATTCTTTGAAAAAGAATCCACACACTGAGCTCCAATCTCCAATCCAGGCTTGAAAAATGTCCCCCTCTTTTCCCCTAAAACCCTCCCTCGACCCTCCCTTGCATTGTTCCCCTTAAAATCCTCCCCCAAGCCCAATTCCTTGAAACCCTCCCCTATTATCCCCCAAACCAGTCCCCTAAAGCCCCTCAAACTATGCCCCCACATTCCAGCCCTGAAACCTCGTCAAATTCCCTCACATTCTTCCTCCACCCAACCCCCAAACTAAGCCTTTCCTTCCCCAAAAGATCTCGGGGCACAGGGGCCCCGCCCTCTCTCTGTGGGACTCACCGCAGCGCCCCCCTCCAGGAAGGTTCTCCCCCCGAATCTGCACACCCTGTCAGGTCTGAAGGACACCAGCTACCTCCATCAGAGGCACCCCTAGACCCCATTCCTGTTCTCCCATCCCATCCCGCTCCGCACCCCTCTTCTCCCTATCTCCTTCCCCCATCACATCCCTTTGGCCCTTCATCGCCATACTCTTCCTCCCTCCCCATCCTCTAATCCTTATGCCCCTATCCCCTTGGCATCCAAACTTCTCTCCCCTCTTTTTATTCCTAACCCTCCCTCTTGGCCCAGACCTTGCCCTCCCCCCTAAATCTCCTCCCTTTCCAATCCTGCAGGGCAGGATAGGAAAAATACAGCCCTCCCCCCTCACCCTCCGCAGTAATCTCCCACCACCCCACCACCCCACCCCAAGCCTTGGCAGCTCCTACCTCGTCCCCAAAGAAGGTGGAATGGAGGAAAGAGAGAAACCACAGCAGCCCCATGGAGACTGCATCCTCCGGCGCCCGCCGTGCCCGCCCGCCCGGCTGCCCAGGCGCTCCGCCTCCCCTCCGCAGCCTCCTCCAGTGCAGCCGTGCCTACGCAGGGGCGCCAGAGGGCAGGAGAGGGAGGGAGCGGCCAAGCCCAGAAGAAACCTCCTCTGCCCCTCCAGGCACCATCCCCCCATCTGTTGGTTTGTCTATCTGTCCTCAGTCTGTCTCCCTCCACTGTTCACCTGTCTGTGCTTCATCTTCCTGTCCCTTTCCTCTGACCACTTTGTCTGTCCACCCCTAGGTGTCCTGCCCTGCTCCTCTGTCTTGTCTGTCTGTCATCCTTTTGTTTGTCTGTCCATTCTTCCTCTTCCTATCCCTCCCTCTCCATCTGTCTGTTTTTCCATCCTGCTCCTTGGTCCATCTGTCCTCTGCCTAATTGCCCCTCTCCTATACCCTTTTCCCATTCATCTCCCTGGTCCATCCGGAAGCCTTCTGTCCATCCGTTCATCTGTTTCTCCATTCCCAGTGATCAATCTGTCCCTCTCTTTTGCACTCTATTAATTTCTACTGTCTCCCCCATAGCAGGACAACAGTAATCACTCGATCTAGGCTCATTGACTACGAAATCATAAGCTAATGGGAAGAAGGGCCAGGCCATTAATACCGTGACTACAAGGATCCACTTGGGCCTAGTTGCCACCTGCTCTCTCCGTTTGTATTCTCCCTTTCCTCTGAGTTTGGGGAAACTAAGACTCTTGGAAGAAGGTGATAATAGGAAGAGAAAGAATCCTCTCCCCACCTAACCCCTGCATGAAAGCCCAGGCTCTGCTCCAAATGGAGACAGGTAAACCCCTAAAATCTCCTGGCCCAATACCCTCCCCAGTCTAGACAGCCCCAGAATCTCAGAAATGGAAGAGGTCTCAGAGGTCATCTCGCCTGGCTTGTCCTGGATAAGAAATCCCCCAGCCTGCACTTGAATATCTCCAAGGAATAGGAATTCACTACCTTCCAAGGCCGTGTGTTCCAGTGTGGGATGGCATTTTTGTTGGAAAGTTCTTAACGTTGAGCAAGAAGCAAACTTGTCCTATTCTCTGGGGCCAGGCACAGCACCTGTAATCTCCCTTACAAATACCTGAATGCAGGTACCATGTCATCTCCCCAATCCCACCCCAAGGCTTCTCATCTCTGGGCCACCTCAGCCCCTACTTACTCACTCACTCAGTCCCCAAGCACTTATTAAGCCACTACCATACGCTAAGCACTGTTTAGGGTGTTAGTTACACAAAGAGCCATCTATTCCATCAAAGGACAACATGTTCATATGATCATACACATAATAATAATAATGATAGCTTATGTAGGGTTTTAAAGTTTGTAAATACATATGAAGTAATGTGTATGGAAGGAGGAGGCACTGCATAAGGAGGGATACATGTGGAACATGGTCCTTGAGCTGAACTTTGGAGGAAACCAGGGAAACTAGGGCAGCTAGGTGATGCAGTGGCTAGAGTGAAGTTGATAGAGGTTGGTAAACAGTGGATAGAGTGGGGGGGCCTGGAGTCAGGAAGACTTCCCGAGTTCAAATCTGGCCTGAGACACTAGCTGTGTGACCTTGGGCAAGTCATTTAATTACATTTGTCTCAGTTTCCTCATCTGTAAAAGGAAATGGAAAACCACACCAGTATCTCTGCCAAGAAAACCCCATATAGGGTCACGAAGAGTGGGACATGACTCAACGTGACCAAGCAACAACGAAAGTATTCTGAGGGGCAGGACTGTGAAAAGAGTGCATTCCAAGCACGGAGAACAGCCAGTGCAAAAGCGTGGAGCTGGAACTGAGTTCAAATCTGGTCTCAGACCATACTCTTGATACTTACTAGCTGTGTGACCCTGGACATGTCACTTAACCTCCAATTGCCTCGAAAAAAAAAAGAACCAAAATAAAAGCATGGAGTTGGGAGATGGAGGGTTGGGTGTGAGGAACACGAAGAAGGCCAGTCTGGCTGGACCATAGAACATATGAAAGGGAGTAATGTACAGGAAGTTGAAGAAGGTTGGTTGGAACCAACTCGTGAAAGGCTTCACGTACCAGAGGAGTTTTGTCTTTGATGCTAAAGGAAATAGGGAGCTACTGGAGTCTTTTGAACAGGGGAGTGACATCATCAGACCTGCATTTAGGACAATCACTTTGGCAGCTCTGTGGAAGATGGATTGGAGAGAAGAGAGGCTTGAGACAGGGAAGAAAATTAGGAGGCAGAAGTGATGGAGGTGAAGCCACTAGGGTAGCCCTGGGAGTGGAGTGAAAGGATGAAGGCAAAAGCTGCAGGAATAGAATCAACAAGACTTAACAGCCGAGGGCAGGGGGGAGTTGAAGGACAATGGAGAGTGGAACATGGCTTTGAGGCTGCAAATGTGAGCTACAGGAAGGATAACAGTGCCCTGGATGGAAATAAGGAAGTCCAGAAGAGAGATGGATTTGGAAGTGGGGAGGGGGAGAGATAATGAGTTCTGTTTTGGACATAATGAATTTGGGATATTTACAGGATATCCCGTTTGAAATGCCCAGTGGTGAATTGTTGATGTAGGACTAGTGCCCAGGAGAAAGACTAGGGCTGGATATATGGATCTGGAAGTCATCTGCATATCAATGATAATTGGACCCATGGGAATTGATGAGATCACTGAGATAGAGTCAACTGCAGGGTGATGATACTTAAAACCATGGGAGCTGAGGAGTGAGAGCATAGAAAAAGAAGAGAAAAGAACAGAGCCTTAGGGTACACCTACAATTCGAAGGTGTGACCTGGATGAAGATCCAGCAAAGGATACTGAGAAGGAATGGTCATTCAGGTCAAAGGAGAAACAGGAGAGAGCAGTGTCATAAACCCAGGGAGGAGATAGTATCTAGCAGGGGAGGTTGGTCAACAGTGTGTCAAAAGCTGCAGAAAGGATAAGAAATATGAAGACTGAGAAATCCGTCAGATATATCCATGAAGAGGTCATTTGTAACTCTGGTGAGAGCAATTTCGTCATGAGTAAAGGTTGAAGTCAGATTGTAAGAGGTTGAGAAAGAGGAAGAAGAGAAAAAGGAGAAAGAGGAAGGGGAGGTAACAGGGATAGATACCTTTTTCTAGGAATTTGGCTGTCAAAGGGATAAGAGATATAAGATGATAGCTTGAGGGGATGGTAGTCCACTGAGTTGTTGTTGTGTTTTGTTGTTTTTTGTTTGTTTGTTTGTTTTTAGGCAATTTGGGTTAAGTGACTTGCCCAGGGTCACACAGCTAGTAAGTGTCAAGTATTTGGTCTGAGGCCAGGTTTGAACTCAGGTACTCCTGACTTCACCGCCAGCGCTCTATCCTCTGAGCCACCTAGCTTCCCTGTTGTTGTTTTTAAGGCTGGGAAAGAGTTGGACGCAACTCCCCTATAACTTGCACTTGAATTTATGACTTGGGTCCCCAAGGCAATGACTATCCTCAGGTTCCAGAGTTCACCTTTTGGTTGGCTACTCCTACTACTAGAGAAAAAAGGCCAAGGTGTTGTGGGGCCATGTCCAGTGTTGATCTATATCTGGCTGCTGGACTCAGATGGCTCTGGAGGAGAAAGTGAGGCTGGTGACTTTGCACAGCCCTGCTTCATTTAAATCCAATTCATTTGCAAATCAAGACATCGTCTTCCTAATGGTCACCTTGAACAAACAACTACAACAGTCTCCTACTAGAGCCCATTAGCCTCCACTAGTGGTGTGTCCCGTGAACAATCAGCTAGTAGACTTATTTAGTCTTTAGTAAAATGCCCACCATTGGGCATTTCATTGGGCATCACTAAGATGCTATAGTAAGAACAGTCTGTGTGAAATATTTCCCCCACGCTCCCCCAAGCTGCAGGGACATACTCTCCCCCAAAATGCACATAGGGTCCATGTAAAATAGAAAATATCTATTTTCTCTATTAGAGCTAGAAAGTGCCCTTAGAATATAGATCACAAAGTGTCACAAGAGGGAATAACCTTAGAATATAGAATGTCAGAGGTGAAAGAATTCTTAGGGTGTAAAACAGAGACTGTCAATGCCAAAAGAGCCCCTAAAATATAGAACATCGTATGAATAAAAGCATGGACCTTGGAGCCAGAAATCTGGGCTTAAATTCTGTCTCTGCCCCCCTACTGTGTGACTGTGTCACTTTCCTTTTCTGGACAGGTTTCTTTACATGCAAAATGGGGACAATAATATTTATCCTATCTACTTCATAGGATTGTAACTGGGAAAACATTGGGTAAATTGTAAAGGACTACAGAAATATGAATTAGTATTGTAACAGAAAAACTTAGAGGTGGAAAAGGCTATTTCCCAATCAGAACTTTATAAATGTTATCTCATGGGGTTCTCACAACAACCCTGGGAGGTAGGTGCTATTATTACTTCCATTTTTTTTTTTTTTGGTGAGGCAATCAGGGTTAAGTGACTTGCCCAGGGTCACACAGCTAGTAAGTGTCAAGTGTCTGAGGCTGGATTTGAACTCAGGTCCTCCTGACTTGACTCCAAGGCCAGAACTCTATCCACTGCATCACCTAGCTGCCCCTATTACCTTCATTTTACAGATGAGGAAACTGAGGCAGACAGAAATTACTTGACTCTTCAGGTTCACACAACTAGCTAGTAAGTATCTAAGGTTGGATTTGCACTCCAGTCTTCCTGAGCCCAGAGCCAGTGCTCTATCCACTGTGACACTCAGTTGCCTCATATCTATACTTGGTATTCTTCTTTGCTGGGAGTAAGGTCACACTTCTGGAAGCTGCTTCTTTTCTCCAGTGACTGTCCGGAGTAGGTGTGTCCATCCATAATTTATGTGTCTGCTCCAAGCTGAATGGAATATTTTCTACTTGTCCAGGAGTTACAATAATATGATTAGTTCAGGGGCAAGAGTCTTCTCTCCACTTGGTGTTTTTGGGTACTGTCAAAGGGATCTGTCTCCACCCAAACCTGAACTCTTCCAACTCTCAAACTGCTAAATGAATGTGTGTGTGTGTGTGTGTGTGTGTGTGTACACACACGCACATATATACATGCATATATACATTCATGTATGTAATACATACATGTATACGTGTGCATGTGTATATACGTAACTATATATAACAATATATAATATATTAAAATATATGTATGTATACACTTATATATACCTAAAGAGTGTGACTGATTCTTTTAGCCAACCCCACCGATCCCTTCTTGACACAGAGAACAGTTTGTAAGTGATTACATTGTTGTGAGATTGGAGATTGAGAGTTTCTTAACATCTACTTTATAATGTGATTTCACCTTGAGGGGGAAGGAGAGACAG